GGTTAAAAATATGTATTGAATAAAAGGTGCTCTCTCCCATGATTTCCCAAAAACATTAGTAATATTCAGTAAGAGGCTGCTGTAACTTGGTCAGAGCCCTCTGAGAGGAATGTACTCTTTCCAGCATATAAGATTTTTCTCATCGGCCATCCAAAGATGAAAATAATAAATGCAGGAGAAAATATTTTTGCTCCATATTTTCCTACTGTCACACATTGTGGAAGTTAACATGTGTTTCAGTTTTATCCAGGAAATGCAAGCTGTAATTAACAAAATTAATGTAAAAAGTTTAGTAGGCAATTTTAAGATTGTAAAAACAATTTTGCTTTACTGGAGTAGAGTGTTTCCTGCCTCTTTTATTTTTTTAATTTATTTTAAAGATTTTATTTATTTATTTATTTGAGAGAGAGAGAGAGACAGAGATAGCGAGATAGAGAGCACAAGCAGGGAGGACAGGGAGAAGCAGGCTACCCCCACCCCCCCAGCAGGGAGCCAGACGCAGGGCTCCATTCCAGGAGTCTGGGATCATGACCTGAGCCAAAGCCTGCCTGTCTCTTTTAATAGGTCTCATGAGTGAGGCTCAGAATTGCCGGTCTGGCTATTCCCAGTCCCGCCTGCAGGTGGAGCAAAGCTGAACTCACAGCTAATGGGTGGTATGTAATTAGGGCTTGCCCTTCCCGCCTTTCCACAACTCTCTAACTTGTTGAAACAAATCAGCAAGTCTCACTTGATATCAGCTAGGTGAAGATTCAGTCTTCCAGATAATTTTTAAAACCATGTACTTGGGAGTCAGTCCAGTTTTAAGAATATTTGCAGTGAAGGTGTTCAGAAGCCATCATGCTCTGGTTACAGAGTGTATGGAATCAAATATAGGGAGAATAGAAAATAAACTTGATTTTTCTTTCTTTTGTTACTTCATTGCTAAAACCAAAATCAATTTTGTATCAGTACAAAATAGGATATGGAAATAGTAAGTGCCAGGCAATATAATTCATAACGAATTGGGAAGGACTTCTTTAATTTCCCCCAATTTAAAGCCCATCCAGAGAATTCTCAATTAAGTTAAAAGACAAAGAGCAATCAGTGATTACTGATTATGATTGGCACATCCAAAATAAAATGACCCAAAAAGGTAAAATGGGACCAAAGATCTATTCTTAAAGTGTGAATAAAAGTAATATTAGGCAAAGTGGAATTTAAGGCAGTAAAAGTTTTAAATGGTTAAGTGGTTAAAAAGTCAATTTGGCGCTATAAGGTATAATCAGTAGTGAATACCTTACAGCATGGACTTATTTTGACAAAATAATATGGTCATAAAAATACAAAGAAAAAAGCACTAGAAACATGAGAAAAAAAATCACTATTGGCATGGATGATTTTCATGCCCCCCTCCTCATCAATCAAAGGTAGATCAAATAGACAAAAAGACATTTGTTTAAATACATACATCTGGTTCCACATAACTCTCAAAACTTGGATTTGTATTCAGTAGGAAGAGTATATTTAAAATGGTCTGTTTTTAAGCATAAGCTATGATAAAGACTTACAGATCACTTTTGGGGTCTCAAAGGCACCTCAAGAAAATCATGCATTGGTTCTCCAGAGCAGCTCAAACAAACAGAGGTTCAGTAAGAAGCTTCTGTAACTGAGGAAGATCCATCCCATATGTAAAACTGTGGTGGGCAGAGAAAATGAACAGTGTTTCGAACAGGAGTCCCAAAATCAAAGACCCAAGGAACAGAATCTCTGGCTCTTAGATGTTTGTGATCTAGCTGCTTTGTGCATGCAAAATTCTGTATACTGTGATCTAGGATGAATATCAGTCAGGATTTTGTTTAATGATGGTTAGTGATTCTCCAAGCAACAATGGACAAGCCAGCTCGCGATTTATATCACTGTGGTGGGCAGCTTCTAATAGAGCTGCCAATGATCCCGTCTTGGTGTTCATGCTCTGGTGTAATCTTTTCCTCTCAAGTGTGAGCTGGACCTAGAAACTTCTTCTAATGAATAGAAAATAGCAAAAAAGATCTGGAATGTAAACATCTGGGTTAGGTAGACAAAAGAGACTGGCTTCTGC